AAGATTATGCTACAACATTTTTTCACTCAGTTAGTCTCAAAGGTGCTACAAGATTCCTTTGCATACTGAAATTGCAGACTAACACAGCTATTTGCAACAACTCTTTTCATTTTTCTTGAACACTTGTCATGAACCAGCATCTGATGGCTCACAGACTGGACCCAGTCCATAGACCACCATTTTGAGCAGCACTGCATTATATAACCAGGGTTTGAAGCAAAAGACTAGAAGTTGTCTTCAGAATTAGAATAACTGGAAATGATGATCTTAAGAACTATTGAAAGAAATACTGAGAAAGACATCTTTCTGAAGGAAAAGTTTGTGACAAAGATTCTGGAACAAAGGCTCCACTTTGTTTATTTTTTGTTTATTTCATAATATTTTAAAATTCAGTGGTACATATTCTCTATCGGGGTGGGAATCATGCAGCCTTCCAGATGTTGTTCGCTGCCACTCCCATCAGACCTAGCAACACAGCTAATGCTAAGGAATATTCGGATTTGGAGTCTAACAATATCTGCAGTTGTTGCTGTTGTTTTTGTGTGCCTTCAAGCAGTTTCCGACTTATGGCAAACCTAAGGCGAACCTATCATGAGGTTTTCTTTGCAAGATTTGTTCAGAGGAGGTTTATCATTGCCTTCCCCTGAGGCTGAGAGCATGTGGTTTGTCCAAAGTCATATAGTGGGTTTCCATGGCCAAGCTGGGAATTGAACCTTGGTCTCCAGAGTCATGGTCCAACACTCAAACCACTACGCCAGTGATGGAGAACCTTTTAGGTACCGAGTACCCAAACTAAGCAGTCTTCTGGCAATGGGTGTTACCATGTGCTGGAGCCGTGACTTCTGGGGGGAATGGGACTTCCTAGGTGGGACTTCCACGCTATGGGGGCAGGACTTCTGGTGCGGGACTTCTTCCCCCCCCCCCCCCCCAACACCACCTTGACTGAAGCTGGCAGCTAAAGGTCTGGGACAACCGGAAGGAGGAGGAACAGGCACACACCTTTTCTTCTTCTCCCCACTTTGTCTGCCAGGGAAAATAGCTTCACATGACATCTCTGGCATATGTGCCATAGGTTCGCCAACACGGCACTACGCCGTGATGGCTCCATATCTGGAGATCCACCATGATTCCCAATGCTGGACTAAAGTTTAGGACAATCCATAATCCAGGTCATGAGATTATGGGATTTTAGTGGAAGAGGAAAAAGGAACCTGCCTACTTGCAGGATTTGAAGCAAAAGTCCTTGTTGGGACTAGGAGGAGCTGAACTCTGAGACAATTGAGTAAAGGACATTATATCCACTACAGCCAGTGCTTTGACGACCCTAGATATCCTCATCTTCTCCTGATCAAGTTACTCAGTTTTAACCAGGTCTTCATGCCCAAATGAATTACTGTTAAGGCCTTGCATTCATTCTTGCCATGGCTCAATTATTCTTTGTTTTTCCGCACCACTCAACCCTGAATTGACAACAGGAAAGGTCACCCGGGCTGTGCTTAGCTAGTTGCAAATGCCACAGTACATTATCTGAGACACAGAATATAATTATCTTTTCACAAGTGGCAATTAGTGGGAATACCTCCCATCACTTCTACTTAGAATTCAACAATGCTAATGTAGTGGAAGGTGACAGATTACATCCAGGAAGCTCTAGATAACCCAGGCAAGACTTTGATCTCTGATGCCAGATCTTCCTGTTTATTTGCTTTTCATTTCCTAATATTTAAAAAATCCAAGTGACCTGGGAGTACAACCATTGTTTTGAAACTGGAAAGTAATCCAGAAAAATGTTTTAACGTTCTCTATTTGTTCTCTTAGTGATCTGTTAAACAGCATTACACCCAAAATTCCATCCTAAGAAACTATTCTGGTCTAGGAATTTTATTCCAAACAGACTTTGCACTCTGTTCCAGAACATAACAGTTCTTTGAGACAATTCTAATGCAGCTAGTAATGAAAGAGAGAATAGCAGCTCCCTGAAACCGGCTACAGTGGAGAGCCAACTGTACCAAAGTTTTTCCCTTTGCTTCCAGAGGAAATCCTACCACTGTCAACCAGCTGCACCCACGAGAGAGAGGGACATTGTAGGCTCCATCCCTTGACACAATAGTGGCTGGTGTCTTCCATGTGAGTAGGCTGATAGTCCAAATTGTAAAGGTGCTATCCAAGATACTGAACCCAATCCTCAAAATTTTATGGCCAAGCCAGAAATCAGACCCTGATTTCCAGAATGGTAGTCTAGCTCCTGAAGAAAGCTGATAGGAAGAAAATCAAGTCATTTGAAACATGGTGCTGGAGAAAAGTTCTACAGATACCATGGACAGCCTCAAGGAAAGGAAATGGCAAACCTCCTCTGGACAAATCTTGCCAAGAAAACCCCATGAAAAAACCTATCAGCCTTAGGATCACCATAAATCTGACATGACTTGAAGGTACACACAACAACAACAACAACAACAGCTTTCTTCACTGTCCAGCTTTCACAACCATACATAGAAATAGGAAATGCAATGGCATGGACAACCCTGCCTCAATGAAATATCTTACAAAATAAAACAATTCAGAAAATTAAGGAGAAAAGGAGCAAGGAAGTAGATTTTGAGGCATCTATTCTTAGTTGGGAGAAAAAGGAGGATCTGTGGCTATGTGCTGTTGATCTACTTTGTGCTACAAATTAATTTTACTATGTTGCCTGGAAAACAATCAGTCCTTCAGGAGAAGAAGAGGGTGGGATTTATTTGTTGTGCCTCCCTCCCAGACAATTGACAAGTCAAGTATGTATCCACACCCCCTTCTTTCTTGCCCCCATCAGAATTAGGGTGTTACAAACATCTGCTAATTTCTGCTCTGATCTTTTTACCAGTTTAGCCCTAAAAAGATCTTGGCTCACCAATACATAACTTTCATTTCTTTTTTTTTTTTTTTTTTTTTCCTTCACCATCTTCTTTCAGCCCTCATGACTTAATGGGCTCTGGTTACAATTGTTAGTGCAGAAATACCCTGGAAGTGAAAAAGCCTTGGGCTTGATCATCTGGGATGATGCTATGCTTCAATAGCTTGATTATATTCAGACAGACAAATTTCAGCATATTCCTTTCCAAGAGTATCTCTCTGGCAAAGATTGTTGTTTCTCTCCTGTGCTCTTTGCCCCATTTTCTGTCTTGGAGCTACAAGTGCCCTTTTGATGGATTACGAGTGAAAGATTGGCTGTCACTCTGTTATGCTATATTTGCAGGGAAATGAAGCCGGTGAAATTTGCCTGCCTCAAGACTTACTTGGAACAGGAGCAGGATCCCACTGAATGAGTGAAATCTGTGAAATGGCCAGTTATATATAATGGGTTACATGTAATTAATTTCTTTTTCCAGTCAAAAGGTGTAACTATATTACAGTACATACTCGGTGCTAGCCATGCCTGGCCATGAAGCAAAATACAGCAAAATCTAAAACCTACAAAACAGCAATACCTTTACAGGCTAAGCAAAATGCATAAAAGCAGCTTCATTTTCATTTTCATTCATTTCATTTATATATACATATATATATATATATATACATCTGATGCATAACATACATCATGCTAACTTTCAAAATTCCACTGGCTTCTTCATCAGGCAAAGATGTTAAAAATCATACAGGAGAAGAAAAGTGATGACGTTAGTGTCACAGGTTTACATTTGTGTTTCAGATGCTGCTTCTGTCGTAAGTTAGGATGGTCTGGATGGATCTCAATGCAGGAAGAGGCAACTCCCCTTCTTGGCTATATGGAGGCTGGGGATGAAGGGCAGTAAAAGACAGGCAATAAAAGTTCAAATTCATTAGCAGCAGCAAAGTCACTTCCACTAACATCCAGGCTATCTCTGTCTTGTGTGAGCTTTCTATTTTCCCCAAAGCTGAGGTTCTTGTTGGAAGAATGGGTGTGAGGTTCTTGAACTTGTCTTATTGACAAGGTAGACAAGATCTCTCTCTCTCTCTCTCTCTTTCTCTCTCTTCCCCCCCCCCCCTCTGTTACTCCTACAATCTGCTCAAAGTAGTGAGATGGTCCTGAATGGACCATAGCAATGTAGCCTGCTACTCCCCTCCCCGTAACACCTGGATATGAGAGAGAAGAAAACATTAAACTCAGAGATGAAAAGGTCAAGTCAGCAAAGAAGAAGTGATGCATACTGTTGGGAAATGCCTTCAGGAGGAATTTACAATCCTGTTCATGAAATTAAGATAGCCCCGTTTCCTTTCTCTGGATTAATGATTCACTAGAGCTGTATCTGCACAACAGAAATAATGCAGTTTGACACTGCTTTAAATGCCATGGCTCAATGCT